GGTTGATTCATGCATATGCCTGACAGGGGATTGAACTTACAACCTTTGTGTATTGGGACAACACTCTAACCAACTGAGCTACTGGGCTAGGGCATGGAGCTTTTAGATGGGGAGTGACAGCTCTTTAGAAAGATCACTCTGGCACTGGCTACTACGAAGAAAGGGTTGGTGGGGGTTGGATGAGGTGACTGGCAGAGATCAGGGAGGTAACTGCTTAAGTCACCCAGGTGAGTCAGTGGTGTCCTGGACCAGGTGGTGACAGTGGAGGAGGGGACATATTTCAGAGGTAAATTCTTTAAATCCTTTGGAATATGAGAATACATTAGAATTTGATTATGTTTATTGCTTATCCCAGCCTTTTAAAACCTCAAGGGATTATGTATTATGTACATAATATAATGGTACAGTGGTATATACTTATTGAGTACAGGCCAAATCACTTTTACAGTCCTGCGTTCAGACTACATTGAGGCCCTCACACTGTGAGGAAGCTCAATCCATATGGAGAGGCCGCATTCTCCTGCTGACAGCCCAGGGGAGGTCCTAGCTTACTACCAGCATCAATAGTCCCACGCACCAGAGGACTGAAGAGGTCTCCTGGTTATTCCAGCTGAAGTCATCACTAGCCTTCAGGTCTTTGTGGGTGAGACCCCAGTTATCACCGAACAGAGATAAGTTGTCCCCACTGGGCCTTTTTACTCTTAGCAAAAAGATTTCCAAAAGAGTTGGCCTCCCTCTTTGGACCCTAGTATTAGGTCACATTCACATTCAGTTGGCACCTTTTAAGGGAAAAAAGGAAGAGTCTCTGCCCCTCCCAAACCACCATGGCAGGGAAGGTCTTCCAGGGCTGAATCTTTTTTTTTTGTTTTTTATTTTTACAGAGAGAGGGAGAGAGAAACATGGATGAGAAACATCAATCAGCTGCTTCCTGCATGCCCCCCACTGGGGATTGAGCCCCACAACTGGGGCATGTGCCCTGACCTGGAATCCAATTTTTAGTGCATGGGATGATGGTCAACCAATCAAGTCACACTGGCCAGGGCAAAGGCTGGATTTTTGTGGATCAGCTGCTCATAGCTCTGTGACCTTGGGCAAGTCACTTTATCCTTCTGAGCCTGTTTTTTCAGCTGTAAAATTGGGCAATGAGTGGTCCTGCCCTGAAAACAGTTCTTGTATGGATTAAATAAAATGAAGCAGACTAAGTGCCGTTTTAATAAATGCTCCCTTACCGTTTGCCATTCTTTTGGGACTATTCTTGTTGAAAACCAAAAGATCCAGACAAGTAATGTCACTGTGAGCAGAACATTTCTGCTTCAGTTTGTGTCACCTTGTGGGAATTTGGGCCCAGTTTAGCCACAGCCTCATAGAAATCTAGCTTGGGACTGGCACAGAGTCTGGGCTGCAGGACCCAAAGGTCTGTGCTTCTATCCCAGCTCCACCTGTCTCCTCTGAGTAAGGCCAGGATGCAGCTCAGCAGGAAGGAAGGAAGCTATTTCTGCAGGGTGGGTACCCAGTGTAGATAAAGACCTAGCCAGGAAAACAGGGAAGTTTTCATGTCTTAGCTCTGCCAGTACTTGCTATAGGATTTGAAGCACCTTGGTACTTCAGTTTCCCCATCTATAATTCATTTCATAAATACTTACCAAAAGTCGACTGACTCTATCATTGTCCAGCTCAAGCCCACAAGGATGCCCAGGCCTTTGCACATGCTGTTAAAAACTATCCTCCCAACCCTGGCCTGTATGGCTCAGGGGTTGGAGCATCGTCCCGCACACCGAAGCGTCAGTGGTTGGATTCCCAGTCAAGGGCACTTACCTGGGTTGCAGGTTCGGTCCCCAGCCCTGGTCAGGGCGCGTGCAGGAGGCAACCAATCGATGTCTCTCACACTGATGTTTCTCCTTCTTCCCTCTCCCTTCCATTCTCTAAAAATCAATAGAAACAATATCCTCAGGTGAGGATTAACAATAAAAAACTACACTGTCTTTCCCCTTCCTGAGTCCTTAGTGCCTCTCAATCTTGGATGAGACAGTGCTTCCTTCCACAAGCCCTTCTGGGTCAGTCACCCTCTTCTCAATGGATTTTACTACCTTGATTACCTGGTGTGTGGCAGCAATGGTGATGAAGGGGAGGATGACCATGGCCTAATTTTCCCACCAAACCATGAGCTTTGTGAGAGCTGGCACAAAGGTGTCCAAAATACGGTTGTTGAGTAAATCGCCTTCATGAGACAAGAAATTCATTCGCTTGTTCTGTCACTTACTAGCAGTGGAACCCAAAGCTTCTCTAAGCTCTGGTTTTCCCATCTAACAAGTGGGGCCCATATCTGTTTCCGCCCTCTATCTCAGAACTTTCTAAACCCTGCTGGGTGCTCTACAGGCGTGACCTTATAGCTATACGAGGCAGCACAGGGGAATAAATAGTGTCCCCCCAAACTCATGTTCACTTGCAATCTCAAAATGTGACTGTATTTGGAAGTAGGGTCTTTGCACATGTAATTAAGTAGAGGATCAAGATGAGAGCATATTAATTTAGGGTGGGCCCTAACAATGACAAGTGTCCATGTAAGAGACAGAAAAGGGGGTCTGGCAGTTCCCGTCATCCACACCTGGTTGAGAAGCCCCTGAGGCAGCTGATGAAAAGAGCTTGATGTCCATTCTACCTCCCACACCAATGATGCCCAGGGACTTCCACCAGCTGAGAAGGTGGAAGCTGGCAGCAAGCATTGCCAGTAGATTGTTCTTGAGGTAGAAAGAAAACTTCTGACAATAGCCAACCTCATAAAATTTCAAGCCACTGGTCAAGTCGTAATTCTATGCATGGCACCCCTGGAAAGAGAAGCAATGAAGGGTAAACACAGCTTCACAGACAGGTCCCACCCCCTTGTTTCACAGATGGGAAAATGAGATTCAAGGCAGGGGCAAACTTGTCCCAGGGCACCCAGTGAGCAATGGTAGTGTTTACTTGTGAACTCAGGTGGGCTTCCTCTCAGTTCTGCCAATCTGTGTGCAGAATTAAGGATGACTGCACAGACCCACTTTTATGAGGGAGAGGGTCCAGAGCATTCATAAGATTCTCACGGGGATATGAGACTAAAGAAGAGAGTGGAAGAGTCCAGGCCAAAGTCACATGGCAAGTCACAGTAGACCTGAGACTACCAGCTGTGTCCTAGATTCTCAGTCATTGCCCTACACTTGCTCCTCATTGGAAAGGCCATTTTCTTCAATGCACCTGATTGAAGGGCTAGACAGTAGGAACACCATGGTTTCCAACAGGTGGAGAATCTGTTGTCCTGTTGGCACTGCCCACAGACACTGATGAGAAGAACTAGGGAAGACCCTGGAGCTACAAAGAATCAACTCACTCTTAAACTGTTCCCAAAAGGACCCCAAGCAAGGTGAAGGCGACAGGTACATGGCTTTCAGGGCCTAAACACATTTCTGGTAAGTCATGCTCTGCTCTTTGGTTCAAATTGTTGATTTACGTCATGCTCAAGTTTCCCATGTTTCCACAGGCTCCACTGGACCACACTGACCTGGAAAGGGTCAACTCCCAAAGCAAATGAGAGACTGATTGAACACAACAGCAAAGTATGAAAATTAATTGAGATATTTAATAGACAGTGCAAACCATAATTTTATCTGAATATAAATGTATGCACATGTTTCCAATGAGTTATCTATCAGTTATCACAAACAGCAACAAGGACCTTAGAGCTATGTTAGAAAAACATATAGCTGGAATTTAACTCTAACAATCTCGCTTGTTCTCAAGAGAATATCATCCATTTCAAATCAGTGTCACAAACTCCAAAAGACCAGGGGAGTGAAAGTGAGGAGTGGGCTAGAATAGGAAACACAGGGGTCAGTACACAGGTGATGGACAGAAATACAGCTCTCAAGGAAACCAAAATCAGATGCATTATTACAGCTAAGGACAAGGAAAAGCCTATGGCTTTTAAAAAACGACTTTTCTGCCAGTACCATACAAGTCTTACAAAGAGATGTGTGACAAGTCAACTGACTTAAAAGGACAGAGGCTACATTTTCAGATCATTTCAACTGCAAACGGTCGACCCTTTCCATTGAGGTTCAGCAGTGGAGTTAGCGTAGTCCAGAAGCTCAATGTTGGATTTGCAAATACAGTTTATTTTACAGAAATTCAACATTATAAACAGCAG